CGCAACCACCAGATTGCCCAGAGGATCTTGCAGGGGCCCCACATTTCCCGGTGCTTTCTTCATCCTCCCTATATATCTGAAAAAGGACTTTTTATTATCTTTGATTTTGAACGCAAGTCCTAGCTCTACGTCCGCCTTAGCTTTCCTGACAGCCCCCCCTACAGGCCAGAGCAGAGGAGGTATACTCCTCTTTGGAGATAGCACCCCCTTACACTGCGTGTACACCGCCTTTTTGGCAATCAGGCATTTCTTTACACCCTTGGTGAGCCAGGGGGGCTTTTGGGCACTCCTGCCCTCCTTGCTTTTTGTTGGGATGGTCACCCCTTGGGCCCTGAGTATCGTCTCCTTAAGGAACGACCACTCATCTTGGGCACTGAGTTCCCCTGCCCTCGAGAACCCCAGCGCCTCTCCCACTAATCTCAACTCATTGTAAAATAGCAGTGAACATTTAGACAATTTTAACACATAAGTCTGATGACACCTCTTTTTTTACTTAGTGTTTATCTTCTTTTGAAGGTTTCAAATAGTTTTTTTCTTCCTTTTCCCAGAGTACATGCAAACATGGCTGTTTACAGGCTGTGAGCAGCTTTACAACAGTCTCTTGGGAGGAGGGAATGATCTCTTTTTATGCTCTTGTATTGCTGTACAGATTTTGTCTTTTACACAGGAAGGATGATTATAGTTCTCACAATGCAAGGCACTTCCTTTGTTTCACCTAGGCTGCATCTACCTGTGCATTTAAGTGCAACTAAATTTAATGCACATTAAGCTAATGCGCCATTAGCAATTTTTGACAGGTGTCTACACATGCAGAGACTTGGTACCAAAGTTAATGCAATAATTTTAGTGCCACGTCCCTGCAAACCTGCCATGTGCTGTTAGTGGCTGGGCAGACCCGGCACTAAAGTTAGTGCTGGGTCACGTCTAACACATGCATTAACATGCTTTAACTAATTGCTTCTAAATTTGATATCTGCATTTGCAGGTATCAAATTTAGGCACAGTTAGCTTAATTTTGCTATTTTAATGCGCATTAAGGGTGTGCATGTGTAGATGCACACCTGTAATACACATTACATGCATTAGGCTAATGTGCATTAACACGTCTTATATAGATGCACACTAGTGTCCCAAGAACTAAGCAAGCTGCCTCTGTAGAGATCACATACTTTGATGGCCTAGTGGGATGGCCACCATATCTTTTGTCTTTAGATTTGTTCTCTGAGGGAGCCAATATTTTTGTGGGTTGGTGCAGGAAGACGTTTGAGAAAAAGTAGACTTGAAACCTCTTAAAACTGAGTGTCTCACTTCTAAAAGTATATTCACATATTTTTTCACATTTTACCTGAATATCAATATATTATCCTAAATAATACTAAATAATTTAATGTATAGGCCATGGCCAGATCAGTTTTCACTACTCAGTGACTTGGCTGAAGTCACTGTAGTTCAAACTGCACTGTGCTCACAGACACAAAAAGCCATACTACCTCCGGAAATAATGCTAACTTTTAGTCAGTCTAAAATTAAATACAACAAAGATCCTAGATTCCCGAATCAATTTTGAAACTGTGACTTAGGCCCCAAGGCACTTCTGCCCTTTGGAAATTTGATCTCTTAAGTATGTGTTTGTGCACAGATGAGTAGTGCCAGGTACGCCAGTGGAGCTATTCATCTGTCTACAGTTAAGTACATGGTAACCTCTTTGCAGGCTGAGATGCCATCGGTGTTTACCCACGTGATGCTACATGCAGTATAGGAAGAGAAAGCTCAAGGTTAGTCATAAATCCAGATTTGCCATATGACAGCCCTCAGAGGTCATTATAGAGAAATGGAGTAAATCCTTTACCACAGGCTGTTCCTGGAATAGCCACTGTCACCAGTGAAGATGTTGCTAGTAAAACAGACTTCCAGAGTCAAGTTGCTAAATGAATAAATGTTGTGCAACAAAAGATTAATCAGAACTGTGTTATTTTAAGTACCTAGGTTAAGTGCTCTAGGTAAGAGTAAATTGTTTCTTCAGAATAACTGTTCATTTTAAAGCCTTGATGCTTTTAGACTTTGCTGCTTATGAAATGAGGCAAAAAGCACTTGTGTTTGAGGTACTTTAACACTGCAGTGTTTAATTCCTAGGCCTGTTGCTGCCTAGTACAATCCTCTGCTCCAAGGTTGGTACCCTCTTGGGTTAAGACCCAAGCTATGTTGGGGGAGGGAAGGAAGGAGCTCCTTACTTCACAATGCCCAATAGTGGGTAAAGCACCCAGCTGAATGCAGAATCCTATCTGGCCTCAGTCAGATAGCTGAACCCATAGCCCCCAGGAATGCCCTAAGCATTATGCAAATGGAATGGACTTCTCTCAGGCTGTAGTTGTTTCACATTGTATAAATAAATGTTTTATGGGAAGGGGAATTTAACACTCAGTTGGCACATCTACGTGAGATGCTTAGCTGTGCATCTGCCTGTGTGTATGCTAACTGCACAGTAAAAATGCTTAATCATGAGTAATTTTGCTATCACACTGACTGCAAACAGATAGCAAATTTATGCATGATCTATTAGTTACTGCACAATTATGCACATGTAGATGTGACCCAGGAGCAACTTTGCTCCCAGGTCAGCCCTACCACTAGGGGGCTGGCCTGAGGCTAGGGAGCCTCTCCAGCCCCAAGGCTGCAAGCCTCTCCTGCCCCAAGGTTGGGCTGCCTCTATGGCAGTCCCTGCCTCAGGCCTTTAAAAGCCTGCAGGCACTCAGAGCCCTGGGGAACACCAGCAGGGAGCCTGAGGACACTCCAGGACCCTGTGTCCCCCTAGGCAGGCCACAGACCAGCTGTCCTAGCCTGCTTGTACCCTGGCACTGCTGCCTGGTGTACAAGCTGCTGGTGAAGGGTACAGCCAGGGACCTCACCAGGATGGGCTGCTGGATGTCTGAGGGACTCTCCTTCGGTGATGTGTCATCAAAGGTGGTAGGCCGGGGACCATACCATCTAGGGCTGCCAGCCCTCAGGCCCAGCTGCAAGCAGCTTCTGGCTGCCAGGGCCAGCTTCCCCTGCCCACAGCCCACCACCAGCAGCCTGCCCCAAGCTTGCAAGTGCTGCAGGGCATTGTCTCTGCTGTGCAGCTGCCTGTTCCATGCCATGCCCCTATGCTGTATGCTGTAGGTAGCTGTCCAGGCCCAGCAGCACAGGGACAGCTGTGTGGGGGCCCAGAGAGCTGGTGTAGGACCTATGATGGCATCTTCCTGATCTGCGACCACGCCCATGCCTGCCATGCAGGGCCCCAACGGGTCCATGGAGGAGATCTTGTGGCACTGTGGGGCAAGGCGGAGGTGCAGTGTGAGTTTGAGTGGGGTGGGCACCCCAACACCCACTTCTATGAAGAGCCCAGATGTGGAAGCCTAGCTCAGATGTGGGAGCATGGGCATGACCAGTCAGTGTGGCAATGCTACATAAAGGTCAGGGTCTGGTGGGCACAGTGGGTTTCCATTGCCAACCACAATAGTCGGTCAGGGAGTGCCTGTAAATTCATGCCCTTTATGTGGCAACCGATGGACATCCTCATGCCCTGGGACCCAGGCCACAGCCATGCTGTGTATAGCAGCATGTATGACCTGTCCAAGCCTCTGCCCCGACCTGGCACCTCCAGTGACAGGTCACTGGGGAGGGCTCCTTGGGCATCCAGCAGCCTGTCCTGCTGAGCTATACCCTCCATCAGCAGCTCAGAGAGCCCGGGTCAGCATCTGCTCTGACAGGTCCGCAGCCCCAGCCATGAGGCATGGCCAGCCATGACACTGCCAGTTGCCAGCAGTGCCAGCTCCTCCCTGGGGGGGGGAAACCCTGGCCGGGCACCTTCCTGCCACATCCTGCTGTCTGAGGACACCGCCTGGAGCTGCATACTGTCCCCAACAGCCATGATCACATGGAGGTGCCAGCCACATCAGCCTTGGCCATGTGGTAAGACCTGATCTGGGGGTGAGCCCCTCCCTGCCTCCTAACCCCTGCCTCTGCTTCTGCCCCCCTTCTCCCCGCCTGGCACACCTGCACTCCCCTGGCCTTGGGTTCCCCCCCATAGCACACATGGAGGCAGGAGACAGTGCCAAATTTTATTGAGCACCCTGTGCCCCCACAGCTAGGTGGTCATGGGCCTCTCACACATCAAGAAACATGTAGATGCTGGCTGTGATGTCCTCCTCAGCTGTGCGGGGCAGGGATGTGTTGTGCAGCCGCAGGTGGCCTTCCAGGTGTTAGTAGAGGTTATGGGACACTTGGGAAGACCTTTGAGAAAATCATCAAGGAGCACATTTGCAAGGACCCAGCAGGGGAGGTAATGCTCAGGGGCAACCAACATGGGTTCATCAAGGGCAGATCCTGCCTGACTAACTTGGTTTCCTTTTATGATCAGGTCAGAAAGTTCCTGGATGAGGGCGTCAAGGTGGATGTTGTCTTCCTGGACTTTAAGAAGGCCTTTGACACAGTTTCCCACCACATTCTCTTTAAAAAAACTAGGTGACTGTGGCATTGATGCCTACCCAGTCAGATGGGTGGCAAATTGGCTAGGTGGTCGCACCCAGAGAGTGGTGGTGGATGGGTTGTTTTCAACCTGGAGGGATGTGGGCAGTAGAGTCCCCCAGGGCTTGGTCCTGGGGCCTGTACTGTTCAACACCTTTATCAGTGATCTGGATGTGAGTGTGGAAAGCGTGCTGTCCTAATTCACTGATGATACAAAGTTGTGGGGCAGGGTGGGCATGCTGGAGGAGAGGGACAGAATCCAGCTAGACATGTTGCTGAGGTGGGCAGATGAGAATAGGATGGAATTCAATGCAGACAAGTGCAGGGTACTGCATCTAGGAAGAGGGAACCATCAACACACCTATAGGCTGGGGAACAACCCTCTTGTCATAACAGTGGCAGAAAGGGATCTTGGAATCATTGTTGACTCCAGGATGAACATGAACCGCCAATGCGAGGAAGTGGTCAGTAAGGCTAACCACACCTTGTCAAGCATCTACAGATGCATCACAAGCAGGTCCAAGGAGGTGATCCTTCTCTATGTGGCGTTGGTCAGGCTGCAGCTGGAGTACTGCGTGCAGTTCTGGGCACCGCACTTCAAGAGGGATGTGGCTAGCATTGAGAGGGTCCAGAGGAGGGCCACTTGCATGGTCAGGGGGCAGCAGGCCAGGCCCTACAAAGAGAGGCTGAAGGGCTTGAATCTATTCAGCCTCCACAAGAGAAGTCTGAGAGGGATCTGGTGGCCATTTATAAACTCACCAGGAGGGACCAGCTGGAATTGGGTGAGGCTCTGTTCCCCTGGGCACCACTGGGGGCCACTAGGAATAACAGCCACAAATTGTTAGAGAGAAGGTTCAGGCTTGATATCAGGAGACATTACTTTACAGTTAGGGCTGCCAAGCTATGTAATGCACTCTCAAGGGAGGAGGTGCTCTCTCCTGGTCTTCAAGAGGAGGCTGGACAGATATTTGGCTGGGGTGTTATGACCCGGGCACTCGTGCCTGCCTGGGTTAGGGGGTCAGACCTGATGATCTGTTTAGGTCCCTTCCGACCCTAAGCACTATGAAACTATGACCCTTCTCCTGGATTGCTTGGTCATGGTGTTGGAAAAGCAGCTGGGGCCCACCAGGACAGGTGGTGGGTAGAGGATGTTGCCCATGGAGGTGTGGGACTGGAGTAAGGAGGTGTGGGAATGGCCAGACCAGGAGTTCTGGATGTAGCTCCTAGCCCAGGAATGCAAGCAGGTGGAGGCACTGTGGGAGCAGAATACCATATTGGCTTGGGCAATGCAGGCCATAGATGACAAATACGAGGTGCTGGAAACTGTTCTGGCCCTGGCAGTCACCTTCATGCTGCCCACTGCCCGGCCCGACCCTAGCTCTGCCTGCCCCCTGGGAGCCACTTGCTACCCAGCAGCAGGCCCCTGCCTGGTCCTGGGAGGAGGTTCTGTGCCAACTCCTGTAGCCAGGAGCCCCTGGCCTGGCACCCACCCTGGGTCCAGTGCCACTCCCACCCCCCATGCCTGGGCCCAGCTGCGCCACTTGCCCTAGCTCCACACGGACGCATGCAGAGCTCGAGTTGCTTGTAGCAGGGCCAGGACCACACACTGGGACTGCTGACCCCCATGCTGGGGGAACACTGGCCATCATTGTCCCTGGACAAACCCCCTGCCTGCTGCACTGCTGTGGCATGGGCACCTGCAGGGGAGCAGCCAGAGGTCAGGGTGCTGGCTGCCTGCCCCCAGGCTCTGCCTCTAGTCACCCTCACCCCATGGCTCCCCCACCCTGGGATGTCACACAGAGAACATTGTACATAGTTTTCACAGGAAAGGTTTTTTTTATTATTGGTGGGTGAGATGGGTGGTGGAGTGGCTCTGATGGGGAGGGAGGGGGGCTCTGTTTGTTGGGGAGGGAAAGGAATGGAGGGCTCTGGTTGATGTAAGGAGAATAAAAACTTGTTCTTCTGAGATGTGTCTTTAGCGAGCATGGTGCTGGGGTTGTGTAGGGGAGGTGGGGGCATGGGTGGCAGTGCAGGTGGGCTACAGCAGGAAGTGCTGGAGGAAGTGGTGCCCTGTTCCCTGCTGGCAGATGTGTGGCTCTCCTGGGGCCTTGGCGGGGGGTGAAGACTGCTGCTGCCACTGCAGGTGGTGCTTCCTCTGCCAGGTGTTCTCTGCACGCCATGCCTCCTCTGTCCAGGCCTCATGGAAGAACCCCCCAGGCCTCACAGATGTTATGCAGCACACAGGCTTCAATGATGACCTGGGGGAGGTTGTCCTTGGTGAACTTGAGGCGAGTGCTGAGGATGTGCCAGCATCCCTTGAGGAGGCTGAAGTCATAGGTCTGGCTCAGGCAGCAGTTAAAGTGGGCCTGGTGGGGGTCTAGGTGGCTGGTGTAAGGCTGCATGAACCAGGGCAAGAGCAAGTAGGTGGGGGTCCCCGATGAGGAGGGGAGGGACCACCACGGCGCTCAGCTGCAGGTCCGGCACCCCCTGCACAAAGGAGCTGCTCTGTACCAGGCCCAGAAGGCCAGAGTTTTGGAAGAGGTGGGTGTCATGGGCGCTGCCTGCTCAGCCAACACTTACATGTGTGAAGGCACCTCAGTGGTCCACGATGGCCTGGAGCACCATGGAGTGAAAGCCCCTCCGGCTGTAGTAGGGGTGGTCTCTGTCAGGTGGGTAGATGATGGGGATGTGCATCCTGTCCAGGGCCCCAGTGCACTGGCGGTATCCCAGGGCATGCAACCCTGCCACCACCACCAGGGGGTTGTGCATGCAGAGCACAGTGTCTCCCAGCACATACTGGAGGGCGCACCCAGTGGGTGCATCTATATGTGCTATTAGTAAGAAGCAATAAACTCCGGTGCAGTCTGGGCTGGAGTCAGCTGTTTCTGGGCACATTTACATGTTTGCTTGTGACTGCAGCAATGTGAGTACTATCCTACAGCAGAGTTAATTAATTTACTGTGTCCTTATACTGGCGCATGTGTAGACTGTGATGCAGAGCTAATTAGTCAACTCCATAGTAAAGCGCATGTATAGATGCACCCCGTCATCTACATCTCAAGTACATCTACACCCTCTATCCATAGGGCTATAGTTTCAGTGTATTTCTATTGTGTTGCCTGGGAAAACTTGTTCCTGCCTGAAACCAGGCAGAGCAAAGATTAAACCTGAATTTCCCTGGTGCAAGAGGAACACTTCAAGTAGTTTATGTTGTGGTGGCATCAGATCTTAAGTGGGCTTTATGCTGTGGTGGAAACTGAGAGGTCTATTCATTAGGAGGCATTTGAGCATCAGTTTTTTCAAGCATTGGCAACACAGAGGGGGGTGCACATGGGTGTACATGCACCCCCTGAGATCGGCGATGCACCCCCTGAAAAGTGCCGCAGACACTGCTGGCAGCATCTGCAGGCACACATTACTTGTCACCCACCCTCCATGCCACCGACACTGCTCGCAGCATCTGCAGGTGGTCACTGATTGGTGCTGGCCACTGCTGGCAGTGTCTATGGGTGGTCGCTGACTGCTGGTCAGTGCTGACCCCCCTCTGCTGCCAACACCACTGCGGCCAGCTGTGGAAGCTCCCTGCTCCCCGCCACTATGTCCCTGCTGCTGCCACCGCTGCTACTGCCTGTGGGCAGTCGCCGTGCCCCCCAGCCTCCAGGGGCATGCGTTGTTCATGGTTTCAAGGATGTTAATGGTGGATAAATTGTGGACTTAGACATCTAAGAAACAGACAGATTCCTAAGTACTAGGGCTGTGTGAAGATTTGGGTGCTGATTTGATTCGGAGGAGACTTGGCCCAATTCAGTGGCCGAATCTCTGAATCCGAATCAGATCAGGGGACCAATTAAAAGGTCTGAATTGATTTGAAGCTCCCTGAATCGATTCAGAAAAGATTCAGCAATTCGGGCAGTCCCCACTGGCTGCAGCAGGGAGCTGGTACCAGACTCCACGCTGGTAAGTAGGGGGTGGGGAAGGGGAGGCTGGAGGAGGGGGAAGGAGACCATGGGGGGACCGCCACAAGGCGCCATCCCCTGCCTGCTCCCCCAGCCCTTCTGGGTGCCTCCCAACCCCCGCCCGCTGTCCCGGCCCTCTGCCTTCATGGGCAACCATTTACTCTAGGATTCCACAAATTGCCACTGCAAATCCTCATAGAGATGTCTATACAGCAAAAAAACAGAAATGCCCAAAACACTCTACTACATGCCAAAGATAAAACAGGGGAGGTGAGGGCATGGTCAGCTATTTCAATGGCAGAGAAGTAATTGGTGCTCAAAGAACTCTACAAAGCAATGCCCCACACTACAGGAAAAGGCAAAAATCCCAGTTTTTGCCAATATGACCTAAGGGAAATATTCCTTCCTTACACCAAGTTTGGTGATTGATAGGATCCTAATTGGAAAAGTCAGATGATCTAGCCTGGAACCTATGAGTTTTCTGAATGCTGGCAGTGTGCCTCAGTCAAAAAATCTCAGTTTCAGCTGGCAAATATCCAGTGCTTCAGTTGAAAGAAGACAGACCCAGAAGCCAGTAGCATTTATGAGAGGAAAAAAATTCCTTCCTGGCCTGTGGTGGCAGCCCTGAAGCATGGGATTACTAGGTACTTACAAGTTTTGGTCAGTGCACCAGACAAGATTAATTTAATTACTATTTACAGTGCTTACCTTTGGAGCACATGGTGTTTGGAACTCTTTGAAAAAGACTTATTTTACTTAAATACATTTTAATTTAATTTTATTGTCAAGATAATCTTTAATTTGCAGGCCCAGGGGGAGCAGTTTTCCTAGTTGGTGACAACGTCTTACGGCTGACCTTTGGAACACACAAACTTGGCAATTTATGGCTCATCTGATAAAATGGAGGCCCCAGGACTAACTTGTATTTGGCTGTGTGACTTTCCCTGCTGGTGACATGAAGGATAAGGTGGGACAGACTACTAAAGGAGAGGAAATGTAAATGAGAAGACTGTACAGGCAGAATAGGTCAGACTGGAATCTTTGTCAGTCCTGCATCCCAGTAAAGAAGTTAAGGAAAAGAAGAGGTTAAGAAAGAAAAGAAAGAAAAAAACCAAGATATGCTCATATAAGTGATTTTAATATATTTATTTCCCTTTCTTGTTGTTTTGCTGACAGTCATCTTTATCAGTGCAAGTCTTGGGAAGGAGATGGGATGGGTAATCAAAATTATCCTTTGATAAAACAGCTGGCAACTGTGCACAGCTGGTCTACATTTCTCCAGCAGCAAAGGAAGCTGGCTGCTGCCTGAACCAGCCCTTTGATTTAAAATGAGGCTTTCAATTTGTGAACCAAAAATGTTTTTTGGGAGGCCTTTGAAAAGTCAGTCCTGCTGCTTACTAGGCTTTTTCAGTGCTCAACTGCTTGTGCTTAAGTTTTTCCTAATATCTACAGTAAATCTTAGCTCCAGGTCATTGTACCTTGTTCAATGTACTTTTAAATGAACTCATGAATAACCCCCTTTCTAATTTCTGTTGTTACCTTCAGGTGTTTATAGCCTCTGATCACATCCTCCTCTGATTATTCTTTTCTTGACTATATAAATGCAGTTCCTGTAGTGGCTTACCGTGTATATTCTCTCTCCATCTTTATATTTTTTGCTGCCCACCATATCATTTTCTAGTTCTCCCACTAACCTGCCTAGAATGTGGCAACAAAAGAATAACAGATGTGACGGGTGGACTGGCAGTGACCTAGCCCAGGGACTTTGAAAGGGCAAAAGTTGATTGGAGGAATTGGGATTCCCTTCCCGCACCAATCAGGCCCCAGAGACTCACCCCCCCTGTGTCCCCTGATTGGCCCCTTGGGTCACCCGGAGGGGGATAAAAGGGGCAGCATGGGCTGACTGAGGAGAGACCAGCAAGGGACAACAAGGAAGGAGCTTCACAGAGCTGGCAAGAGCTGAGCCAGCAGGGTAGAAGCAGTGCCCCAGAAGAGCCTGAAAGAGCAGGACCTGCAGGCAGCAGTGGGACCCTCAGCAGTGCGGCATGCGGCCGGCAGGAGAGGCTCCCCGTTGGGCTCCGGGATCCCCTACGAGAGGCTGCAGCCAGCAGGAGAGGCTCCCCCCACTCCAGGAAGGATCTGAGCAGCGACCTGAGAGGTTACCAGCTCTGCTTCCAGCTCCTCCAATCAGAGGCCAGGCAGCTCGACGTGAGGCTGGGGCTCTGGGAAGCTCAAGACCCCTAGCAGGCTGGAGTAGTGCTACCAGTGGTTTTTTGCCAACCACATGGGAGATCTGGGTTCAAGTCCCAGCTGAGGTGACTTGGGGTGAGTGAGCTAACAAGAAGCAAATCTTCTTGCAGTGAAAAGGGGCCATTGTGTTTTCCCCCTTTCCTCCCCCTCCAGGTACCAAGGCCCTATATTTCCTTGTCATTTGACAGTTTGCATTTTGTGCCTTTTTATATTTCACCAACCCATATTGTTTGTTCTGCTGTTTGTGTTTTATATTTTGTTAACCCTGTTTTTTGTCAATGATTGTAAGTGTCTAACCTTTGTTGAATCCTGCCCCCTTGGGGCATTGTAGTATCCACTATACCCTCTGATTTATGCCTGTTATGTTCCCAGTATTAAAAGGTATATGGTTAAGTCCCCATTGGTGGTCTGGCTCTGCTCTATAGGGGGAGGAGAGTCCCTACACCTCCCACAGCGCTTGTGCACCTGCTTTGATCCCTTCAATTGGAGAGGGGGTACCTCTTGGAGTACCGCCCAGGTTACACATATTTTAAGTATACTAATATGAGACAGCATATTCTCCTGTAATAGTACTGCCCAACCCACCAGCATGGTCAAGTTTACACGTTTTCCTATATACTTAAAGAAAATATTAATTTGATTTTTTTTAAATGTACCATCTACTTCGGTTTGGAGGCTAAGCAGCTCTGTTTTGTCTCCATCCTGCCCCCTTCTCACCCCATAAATATTAAATAAATCACAAATTCCTTACACATCCAAAATTAATTATCCATACTCACCTTACCACCCCCTTATGCCTCCCTCAAAGGCCTGGAAAACATGTTTTATAACATTCCCAAAAGGTCAATGGATCTGGGTTCTATCAAATCTAGATGGATCAATTTCAGTCAAGTATCTTTTGAATAAAATGTTCTCCCAACAGCACCCTTCAATTTAAATTAGAACACTGTCAGCTCAGCAACCTCCACTACTTTTATGTGGCAAAGTACTGCAACAAGAGAGTGGTTGCCTTTCAGATAAGTGAACCAGTATTTTGAAACATGAGGAAGTATATATTGGATGTGATGTGCTTTGGGTAGGAAACAAAAGTAAGTAAATGGATTGTCATGTACACTATTTGAAGTTCTCAAATGGATTTTTCATGCATTATTTATTATGTGGCATCACAAGTATTTATTATATGGTATCAGGGCTCTGGAACTTGCTGGCTCTACCCACAGCTGATGTCACTGCCTGCTTGCTGCAGTGGAAGTCCCTGTCTCGGTCCACAGCTGAGCTTCTGGGCTCCTGGCTAACTACAGCTTCAGCTGGGTTCTGGAGGGAGGGAGGGAGGGAGAGGAAGAGAAGAGAAGAGAAGAGGATATAGCCTTTTACGGGTCCCCAAAACACATTAAGTGGCCCTCCAGCTGAAATAATTGCCCACCCCGTCATAGATGATTGGAAAAGGGTGTATATAGTGCTCCCCTTTAAGAAAGAGGAGGAGGATCTGGGGAATCTGAAAGATCAGTCGGCCTGAGTTCAACACCTGGAAAGATCATCCAGGAGGTTCTCAAGGTATCTATGATGAAGCATGTAGAGGAGAACAATAATCAGGAATTGCCAGCATCCATTCATGAACAGCAAGCCATGCCTGGCCAACCTGATTTTCTTCTAGAAGGTTACAGGCTCTGGATGAGGGGAGACCAGTGGATGTGATATACCTTGACTTTAGCAAGGTTTTTGCACACTATTTCTCACAATCCGATTGACAAGCTAAGGAAATAGAGACTAGATATGGGGTAGGCAACCCCCGGCATGGGTGCCAGAGGTTGGCACTCAAAAACATTTTGCTTGGCATGCACATCTCAGGGTGGACGGCAGGGAAGGGGATGGGGCTGCACTGCCACAATAAGGATTGGGCCGCTCGTGGCTCCCCCACCATCTGTCCCTGGCACGCCAATATCTGACAAGTAAAGGTCGCAGGTGTTTTTGGCACTCTACTCAAAAATGTGGCTGACCCCTGGACTCTATGAAAGTACTGGAAGGTGGATTCATATCTAATTGGATCATTGTGCTCAGCGAGTAGTCATCAGTGCGCATGTCTACATGAGTCATTTAATGCAGTAGCATAGTTTACTGTGCAGTATGCATGTGTGTCTACACATACAAATGCAAGTAGCAAATTTACTTTTGATTAGTAACGGCACAGTAGCGCTCACGTAGATACCTGACTGGGAGCAAATCTGCTCCCAGTCAGCCATCCACCAGGGGGCGGGAGATTGCTCCCTGCCCCCAGGAGCTTCCAGCTGCCCAAGCCTCCCCAGTCCGAGATCCCGATCAGGGAGTGGGGGCTGGGGAGCTGTTCCCTGTCCAGCTCTGTGAGCACAGAGCTGGTTGGGGAACAGGCTGGGAAGCTTGTTCCCTGCTCAGCTCTGTGAGCATGGACCTGGGTGGGGACCAAGATGGGGAGCTTTTTCCTGCTCAGCTCCATGCTCGGAGAGCTGAGCAGGGAACAAGCTTCCCAACTTGTTCACCACCCAGCTCTGCATTCACAGAGCTGAGCAGGGAACAGGCTCCCCAGCCTCTGCCCTGCATGCGGGATGGGGGCTGGGAACTGTCCTAGTCAGTGGCAGGTTCCAGCCCTGTGCTCTGATTGGGTGACTGAAGCATGGGGCTTGGAAAAAGCTGCAGGGGAGGGGTAGGTTCCAGCTCCCTGCCCTGATCTGCCGGTGGGGCAGTTAGCAGTGAGGTAGCTGCTAGCTGCCCCACCGGCAGATTGGGGTAGGGGGCTGGGACCTACCCTTCCTCTGCAGCTCTTTCTACATCTCCTACTCCTATTGGGGGAGCTGGGGCCAGGACATCCCTGGTGCCAGGGCAGGGGAACATTGTTTCTGCCCTGGCAGCAGGCAGCCCCTGAGGGCAAGGCATAATGTCCCAACCCCAGCCAGGAGACAGGTGTCTCCTGGCCCAGTGCTACCTGCCAGCCTCTGAGCTAGCACCCAAGTGAAGCATAGAGCTCCTTCTGGGGACGGCAGGGGCCCATTGCAGTGACCTAGGAAGCAGGAGCAGTTTGCTGCCATTAGCAGCAAATCTGCTCCTGCTTACCTGCGTGTGTAGATGCCTGCCCTGGAGTGTTTACTCATGAGTAGTTTACTCACAAATAAACTGATCCTGGAACAAATGCATGTGTAGATGTGCCCAGTGGCTCAATGTCTAGTTGAGATGAGGGATTAAGTGGGGTTTCTTATGGGTCTGTCCTGGGTCCAGTATTGTTTAATATCTTTATCAGTAATTTGGACAATGGGACTGAGTGCATGCTTAGCAAATTTGTGGATGACACCAAGATGGGTGGAAGTGTGGACATTTCAGAGGACAGGGCTAGGGTCCAGAACAACCTGGATAGACTGGAGAAATGATCTGTAATCAATCAGATGAAATTCAACAAGGAAGAGTGCAAAGTCCGACACTTAGAATGGAATAATTGCATGCATAAATAGAGACTGGGGAATGACTGACTAGGTTGCTGCAGAAAAGGACCTGGGGATACAGTGGACCATAAGCTGAACGTGAGCCAGCAATGTGCTCACTGCAAAAGGCCAACAGCACCCTGGATTGTATTAACAGGAGTGTCACTGGCAAATCAGCACTTATGAGGCCTTACCTGGAGTACTGTGTCCAATTTTGGGCCCTAGACTTCAAGAAGGATTTGGACAGTTTGGAAACAGTCCAGCACAGAGTAACAAAAAGGAATTAGAGGCCTGAAAAACCTGACATATGAGGAAAGGCTGGAAGAACAAGAGTTATTTAGCCTGAAGAAGAGAAGATAGGAGTGGGATTTGATGACAGTCTTCAAATACCTGAAGGGTGATTATAGACAAGATGGAGAAGGGCTCAGTGGTCATAGGGGACAGGACCAAGAGCAAAGGGTTCAAACTGCAGCAAAGGAAATTTAGGTTGGAAATTAGGAAGAACTTTTTGACTACGAGGGTGGTCAAGCATTGGAGCAAGGTACCTGGACAAATTGTGCAATCTCTGTCCTTGGAAATTTTCAAAAGCAAGATGGACAGACACTTGACTGGGATAGCTTAGTCAGGGAAGAGCCTATCTTGAGCAGGGGGCTGGATTAGGTGACCTACTTTTCTATAATCTTAAAATAAGGCTTTTCAGATATTTAAGTATTAATCCATAGTATTAGGAACATTATAAGCCAGATTTTGTGCCTCCTGTTTTGTTTTGTTCTCTTCTATCTAAACCTTATTTGGACAGGAACACTATATAGAAGATTAGATGGGACTGCATGGCCCTCAGCATAAGTTAAAGCAGGTTCAGTGCCATTCTAATCTTGTTCATCTGCAAAGCTCCCAGATGTTATTCTTATAGCCTTGAACAACAAGACCATGCTATACAATCTGTGCTAGAAGCTGCTAGAAGGATAGTCTATTCCAATTCTAGGCAATCAAAAAAATTCCCTTTGTTCTAGTTTATTTTCAAGTATCCAAGTCCCCTGACTAGATAACCCCCCTTTCCCAAAAGACTTGTAAGCATCTTAACTTACAGTGCTCCAAAAGGATCTCTGGTACATGAAATTTAAGTAGATGAAAACAAATAACATATTCAATTTCTAGATATTTTTAGATAGATTAATATCTGCAATACATTGTATTCAAAAGTTTTTTGTCACAAAATCCATAGCAGAACAAAACAATGGTAAAACAGGACTTCCAAAGAGCCCTAACGTTACAATAAACCTATTATTTCAGATCAGCCTTGTCAGTAAATATTTTAAAAAGATGGTAGTAGAGTTTAGTCTTGGAAATCAAAGTAGTAGGCACTTTGTCATAACTTTATTTTTTTTTAAATTGGATATAAAAAGCTGAAAGGCTCATACATGTCTGTTGTGCATTAGCCAGGCATATTTTTTCAGGGTATTTTCAGAATGTCTTTGCAGTTCTTCAAGATGTGAGTTTAAAAGTTCTTCAAATTCTTTTGCTCGATTCTCTTCTTCTTCAAAGAACTTTTCTGCTGCAGCTGTAGGGAAGGACATCTCAGGGGGAGACTTCACAAGACAGAGAGCAGGCACAGTTAGTATGGATTTGCAAGTACAGCAGTCTTTTTACATTACTGAAGCTTAAAACAATTTCTTATCTTGAGTGATACAACTGGTAACTCTATGCATCTTTTTCTCTCTTTTCAGTAAAAGATAGATCAAGGCTTTGCCTATGCTGCGGAAGCGGCTGCTGCTGCTTGAAATGCAGCAGGAGGGCTGAGGTAAGCAGACCTGCTAGTGTGGGCACAGCTCTACTGGCAGAAGGAGTTTTTCTGTTGCCGAAGTTGCACCAGCTCCCCCCCATGATAGAAACTGTGCCGCCAGGAACCACTCTGCTGGCAGAGTAACATCTGTGGGGTGAGATCTTTTTACACTCCTAGTTGACTTAGCTTTGTCAATATAACTTGGTAATGTAGATAGGGGTTTAGGCACAGCTCCTGCATGGGTTGTGTTAGGCATGTAACTCCTATGGCAGTTAGGCACCTAAATACCTTTGAGGATCTGGGCCTTCAGCTTTTGATGTGTTGTTGCAGATAATATTACCTTTTATTCTTTGACTTGGCTTTCTGACAACCCTCCATATCCTTTGGCCAGCCAAGGATCATTTAAGTCTCTGATGTAATTAAGGGACGACTCAGGACAAAAATCCATTGTTTGGAATTAACAGCATATATTGCAGCAAACTGGCTGCGTCTACAAGAGACGCTGACTGCACTGTCATTTAGTATAAACAAGTACTAAGTGACTGTGCAGTAACCCAATTTACTGTGGAGTAGCACTGCCAAACATCTTTTTCTTGATGCTACTACACAGTAGCTTAATACTACTGCACAGAAGTGTTGGGTCACGGTTGTTGCCATGCAATGCTACTGCGCAGTGATATCAGGCTACTGCACACTCAGCATCTCATGTAGACACAGCCACTGACTCTCATGCATATTAAAACTATTACATCTATACAAATACCAACAACCAGTAACCTCTATGAAAACCTTTACTTAAAACTTCAATATGGTGTGGGTTACACCTCATTCACTATTGCTAAGTGAAGACTGCAAATAAAGGGGATTATTTTTGCCAGTTTCTGAGCCAAACCTGAACACCGTTGCATCTTCCCTATAATTTTTTTGTTCTCATTACAGTACTGTGGGATGTTTCCTGATAGCACACTAACAGCATCTACAATTTCATTGCAATGGGTCTTTTCTAGTTGCACCTCTTTAGTCTGAAGTTGTGATCTTGCTCTTGCTGAATGTTACATATTTTCAGTGGCCCCTTTAAAATTTCCATTACTTGATGCTCATTTAACAGCAGTGATTAGTATGTAACAAACCAGGTTTTGGCTGAAAATGAAATGGGTTGAACTTAGAGTTGTGTAAAGAAAAGCAGAGACAAAATTTTTTGCTGGACTTGGTTTTAAGGAATGTGTAAGAAACAATTTCCCTGAGGTTTTTGTATCAGTAATACAGTGAATTTTTAGAATACACAAAATATCAGAGACTAAATGAAATGATAACATTTTCCTTAAAGATTTATCTAAATCCATTTTCAAACTATAAAGCATAAGGAAAATCTGCTGTAGCAATGAAGCCAGAGAGAAATATAGTTTTCTGTGCCATCTGCATTAGGAAGGATTCTTAAACTGTCCAATGTAAAGGGTCTTAAAATAAGGATTCTGATGCAAGATAGGATTTTAAAGATTTTAACTTAAATGAGGATAACTTAAATACTAGAAATTTGTGTGGATTGTCACTGGTCTTTCCTTCAGTGCTAATATATAATATCTTTTAGCTATGGCTGCTGGGTTATACCTAACATTTTGAGAAGATTGCAGACATAACGGTAGACAATGTATCTTTGTCACTTGTAACAGTATATTGTGAACACCCTGTATACTAGGCTTGTGTGGCTGATCTGGAGGACAGTGATTTGATTTGGAGTTTCGGATCACTGTCCTGAATCCATTCGGCTGAATCAGATTTGGAGAATTGGCACTGATTTGGTGAGATTAGGATCAGCTGGGGAGAGGCAGACACAGCTGGGCAGCAACAAGTTCTCCTGCAGCTCCTCTGGCTGTGCCTGCCTCTCCCTGGGTTGGGGGAGCTGTGGGAGAAGCCCCCAGGGCTGCTCTGCCCAGCCGCAGCTTAGTCCTGGCACTTTAAAAAAAAAAGCAAAAAAAGCCCCACACTCACTGGCAGCAGGAGCAGCAATTGGGGTTTCTGGGAGCTCATGGCAGAGCTCCCCATGCAGGTCGGGGCAGTGGGGACAGCAGGGATTGCCCCCCCCCCCGGCACCTGTGTAGCAACTGCCCCATGGCATGGGTTCAGTGTCTGGGCGCTGGGGTCGCTAGGGCTGAGCAGTGCCAGGCTCTGGCTGACACGTGGAGCTGCCCCAGCTCCCAGGAGAATTAAACCAGGGGCTGGGGAATCGAACAGGGGGCTCAGGAATTGAGCTAGGGGCTGAGGGAATATTCAGGTCCCTGAACATTTCCCCAGCTCCCCGATCTTTCCCCCAGCTTTTTCAAGAGAGCACAGGCCCCTGGATGATGCAGGATGACACTAGGTTGCTGCTGCCAGCTGGTGGTGGCTCTGGGCTATTTCCCCAGCTGGCAGCAGCAGCCTGCTGAAACCCTGTGCAGATCCAGGGGCCGTGCCCCCTGGGAAGAGCTGGGGGAATGATCAGAGAGCTGGGGAATCAAACCAGGAGCTCCAGCTGCCAAGCCACGCTGCACCCATGCCATAGGGCAGCTGCCACACAGGTGCCAGGCAGGGGGTGGGAATCTTCGCTGCCCTTTGCTGCATGCAGGGCTCTGCCATGAGTGCCCAGAGGCCCCAGTCACCACTTCTGCAGCAGTGAGTGCAGGGCTTTTTTTTTTTTTTTTTTTT